AAAATTCCATTTTCTGAGGAGAAATTCAAGCTGGCTGCAGAAATTTGCATAAGTAATGAGGAGCTGAATGTTAATCACCAAGACAATGGGGAGTATGTCTCCAGGGCATGTCAGAGATGTTTGCAGCAGCCTCTCCCATCACAGATCCGGAGGCCTAGGAGGAAAAAGTAGTTTCATGGGGCAGGCCTAGGGTCCCTGTGTTGTGTGCAGCCTAGGGACATGGTGCTCTGTGTTCCAGCTGCTCCAGCCATGGCTGAAAGGGGCCAACATAGAGCACAGACCATGGCTTCAGAGGCTGGAAGCCCCAAGCCTTGGCAGCTTCCATATGGTGCTGAGCCTGCAGGTGTGCAGAAGTCAAGAATTGAGGTTTGGTAACCTCTGCTTAGATTTCAGAGCATGTATGAAATGCCTGGATGCCCAGGTAGAAGTTTGCTGCAGGGGTGGGGCCCTCATGAAGAACCTCTGCTAGGGCAGTGTGGGAGGGAAATGTGGTGTGGCCCTCATGAAGAACCTCTGCTAGGGCAGTATGGGAGCCCCCATACAGAGTCCCTACTGGGGCACTGCCTGGGGGAGCTGTGAGAAGAGGGTCACTGTCCTCCAGACCCCCAAATGGTAGATCCACTGACAGTTTGCACCGGGTGCCTGGAAAAGCCTCAGACACTCGATGCCAGTCTGTGAAAGCAGCTGGGAGGGAGGCTGTACCCTGCAAAGCCACAGGGCTGGATCTTCCCCAAGACCATGGGAACCCACGTCTTGGATCAGTGTGATCTGGATGTGAGACATGACTGCCCTGCTTTTCGGACTTGCATGGGACCTGTAGTCCCTTTGTTTTGGTCAATTTCTCCCAGTTGGAATGGCTATATTTACCCATTACTGGTATCCCCATTGTATTTATGCAGTAACTAGATTGCTTTTGATTTTACAGGTTCATAGGCAGAGGGACTTGACTTGTCTCAGACGAGACTTTGGACTGTGCACTTTTGAGTTAATTCTGAAATGAGTTTCAAGACTTTGGGGGACTGTTGGGAAGGCATGATCACTTTTGAAATGTGAGGACGTGAGATTTGGGAGGGGCCGGGGGCAGAATGATATGGTTTGGCTGTGTTCCCACCCAAATCTCATTTTGAATTGTGACTCCCACAATTCCTATGTGTCATGGGAGGGACCCAGTGGGAGGTGATTGAGTTATGGGGGCAGGTCTTTCCTGCACTGTTCTTATGATAGTGAATGAGTCTCATAAGATCTGATGGTTTTAAAATCAGAAGTTTTCTTGCACAAGCTCTTTTTTTTTGCCTGCTGCCATCTATGTAAGACATACTTGCTCCTCTTTGCCTTCTGTCATGATTGTGAGGCCTCCCCAGCCATGTGGAACTGTGAGTCCAATTAAACCTCTTTCTTTCATAAATTGCCCAGTCTCAGGTATGTCTTTATCAGCAGCATGAAAATAGACTAATACACCATTAAACAACAGATCTTCCTTCTGCAGTCTCCCCAGCCCCTGGAAACCACTATTCTACTTTCTGTTTCAATGAATCTGACTACTCTAGCTACCTCACATAAGTGGAATCATACAGCGTTTGTCTTTTTGTGACAGGCATCTTTCACTTGGCATCATGTCCTCAATGCTCATCCAGTCAGTAGCATGTGTTAGAATTTCTTTTCTTTTTAAGGCTGAGTAATATCTCATTGCATGTATATACAACATTGATGGACATTTGGGCTGTTCCACCTTTGGCTGTGGTGAGTAATGCTTCTATTAACATAAAGATATGTATGTCTCTTTGAGGTCTGCTTTCAGTTCTTCTGATACACAGAAGTGGAATTGTGGGATCATATGGTGCTCCTCTGTTTAATTTTTTGAGGAATCTGCATACTGTCTTCTGCAGGTGCATCACCGTTTTACATTTCTACCACTGGCATACAGGGTTTCACTCTCCACATCCTCACCCACACTTGTTATTTTCTGTTTGTTTTTTTGTTTGTTTGTTTTAATAGTAGCCATCCTAGTGGGTGTGATGTGACTTCTCATTGTGGTTGTGATTTGTATTTCCCTACTGAATAGTGATATTGATCATCTTCTCATGTGCTTGTCGGCCATTTGTGTGTTTTCTTTGGAACAATGTCTATTCAATTCTTGGCTCATTTTAAAAATCAGATTGGTTGTTTTTTGTTGTTGAGTTGTAGGGGTTCTTTATATCTGGATATTAGCCCCTTATCAGAGATGTGATTTGTACATGTTTTCTCCTATTCCATGGGATGCCTGAAGTGACTTTTTTTTAACAGATCCCTCTGGCTGCTGGGTTGGGAATAGACTGTAAGTGGGCAAGGATGGAAGGTCTAGTCAGTAGCCCATGAGCATGGTTATCTTGCATTTCCAAACTAGAACATTTTGAATCATTATTGATGCCCCCAGTTGTCATCTCCAGCCCCCACCAGGGCAAGTATCTCAAGGTAGGACGCTGAGGTTGGGAGGAGACAGGTGGGGAGAGGCTAGAAGCTTGGATCAGAGGGTAGAGCCGGTAGGGTGGGCAGGACTTAATCAGAGGGTCTCTTGTGCCTGTCTCTGTATTGCCGCCATCTCTCTTCTGGCCCACTGTGGCATCCATTCCCAACTTGTTAGCTTGGCCTGCGAGGCATTTGCTGCTGTGGTCCTGCCCACCCTACCGGCTCTGCAATCTGATCCAAGCTCCTGACTTCCCCTAACCTGTCTCCTCCTGGCCTCAGCTTCCTACCCTCAGACACTCGCCCCGGCACCTTGTGCCAGGCAGAGCTGAACACTCCCTTGCTCTTCTCACAGACCCTGTCGCTGCGGCCCTCACTCCCATACACCCTTGTCTCCCATCTCCACGGCTGCCTCTTCTGCCAAGTGGGGAACTTTCCCAGGGGGTGAAAGAGACTTGTCTTCTGCACAGGGTCCTTTATGCAGAGTGAGGCTCAGACTGTGTTTGATTCAGTGAATGAAAAGACTGACAAGAAAGAAGCAAAAGGTACCAGACCACAGACAAAGACTGAGGAGACAGAGGAGGAGGTGAGGGAGAGGACAAAACTGGCGTGGGAGAGATGTTGGGCCTGCAGCTGTCCCACGGCTTCGCAATGTAAGGCTTCACCCCCTCTTTGTGCCCTTCTGGGCTGGTGGCGCCTGGCCCTTCTGTCCAGCGCAGACCCTTTTCCTGGCTCCCTGATACCGTATTCACAGTTCCTGGATAAGATTCAGCTGTGTCGCCTTTATTTCTTGTTCTTTTTCTTCCCGTACTTTACATAATAAAGGTTTTCTTTTCTTTTTTCCTTTGGAATCAGAAAACTGAAGAGACTATCTTTATTAAATAACTTAATAAAGAATTCAAAGGAAGTGGCTTTGGGGGCCAGAGGGGAGAGGAAGGGAAGGGTACTGTCATGCCGGGGAGGTTCTGTGTGCAGAGTTGCACCCTTGGAAATGGACTTTTGAGTTCAGGGCCTGGGAGACTCGTGAAAAAAAACAAAGGAGTCCATGAGAAGCCCCAGAGCTTCTGGGAAAGAGGTCCTTGTTTATGCCTGTTGGAACTGATTTGGTCAAGTGTTTGTTTAAAGGAGATGCCACTTGGTAAGCGACGCCTGGCTTACTTGTGTTGCGTTCAAGAATGCTTTGATTGGCCGGAGATGCTGACACTGTTTACTCAGAACTGGCTCGAGTGTGAGTGCCTGGAACCTAGAGGCCCAACGCCACCACCCAGCAGATTCCTAAGTGTCTAATATTGAAGTGAGGGCTGCAGTGGTTTAACTCTGCCGGGCAGCGCCAAACCCACAACGGGGCAGTTAGCTACCTCTAGCCTTGGCTAGCATTTGTCTTTCTCTTGATTAATAACTGTTGCTTTTTTATATTGTGAGTTTGACAGAAAGTAGATTAAAAGTGCACACAGGCCAGCTGTGGTGGCTCACGCCTGTAATCCCAACATTTTGGGAGGCCAAGGTGGGTGGATCACGAGGTCAGGAGATCGAGACCATCCTGGCCAACATGGTGAAACCCCATCTCTACTAAAAAAAATTTAAAAATTTAGCTGGGTGTGGTGGTACGTGCCTGTAATCTCAGCTACCCGGCAGGCTGAGGCAGAAGAATCGCTTGAACGTGGGAGGTGGAGATTGCGGTGAGCCAAGATGGCGCCACTGCACTCCAGCCTGGCGACAGAGTGAGACTCTGTCTCAAAAACAAAAAAGAAAAAACACCACACACAAGTTACGGTGGAACATTCCTCTCTTGGGAGGTGGTGACCACTAAACATTTACCTTCACATTTGCCACATGCTGTATGTGGTTTTAGGCTGGATCATCCCTATCCCTGAAGTGATGGGTTGTGGCCCCATCTTCCAAATGAGAAAACGGAGGCACAGTGCTTAATACTAATGGTAGAGTCAGGAGGTTCAGGGGACTCAATTTCAATTAGACCCAGCAGTGAGCTCCTCTTTCCCATTTTAGATTGTCAGGATTTTGTCATAATCTTTTTTTTTTTTTTTTTTAAATCCTCTGTGTCTTGTATATGGTAGGTGTTGGTAAAATGTGAGGTGTGTAAATGGAGTGTTAAACTGGATTAAAGTGAACTCTGGGCTGTGGTGCCTATGGCTCTTGTAAGTTATGAGGCTGGACTAGGTCTGAAGGTGATGGGTGAGAGTTGTACTGGAGCTGTCTGGCTGCACACGGCACATCCTTTATGGTGAGTGCATCCGTGGATTCTGGTCAGGTCATGCTGGTCTCACGTGGTGTTTGGTGTCACTGCTGTGTTGTTGCCCTTGGAGAGAGAACCCTAGGGATACAACTTTGACAAACTTGTCCCAGATTAAAAACCTGATATTCTTCTAGCACCTGGCCAGCAGGTAATAACTCGATGGGAAAAGAAATAGGAGATCTCATTTTTAAGAGTGTCACTGCATTATAGTTATATTGCAGTGGTGCGGGGAACAGGAATACTAGTTTCTTGTAGTTGCTTTGCAGAAAGAGATGCTCAAGTCACCTCCCTTGGTGTGTTTCAGGCAGCACAATAAGATTCGCAGCGTGGAGGGGAGCCAGCTAAAGGCCTACCTTTCCTTGGAAGTGTTGGATCTGAGTTCGAACAACATCACGGAAGTGCGGAACACCTGCTTTCCACATGGACCGCCTATAAAGGAGCTGTAAGTGCCTTTGTTCAGCTACCTGTGGCTGGCCCTCTGTGTCCAGCCAGCTAACACCTTTACCGGCACCCAGTTCTGGACACAGGAGGGATGCTTCCTTCCCTTCTCAGCCATGGCTGGGCCAAGTCAGTGGGGATGGTGCGGACCTTCCCTGAGCAGGGCAGGGGCGGGGCCGGTGCATAGAGCACATCCAGATCTGCAGCATTATCCTGACATTACAGACAGACAAGGGACAGAGGCAGGAAGAGGTTACTTAGCCTGTCCAGGGGACTCAACACTCCAAGATGAGAGTCTAGGACTCAGGTACAAGTCGATCTTGACCACAGAGCCTGCTTTCTTTCCCATTTCCTTGGCTGCCTCTCAGAAATGCTTCCAGAGGAGATTCAGGGAGGCTGGTTAGAGGATTCACATTGGAAGCCTGTTTGACAAGGCTTAGCTTATCAGTGCGTATCTTTCTAGTGTCATGCACTGTAAAACAAGTCTTTGGGTTTATTTGGGGGAGGGAAGTTACTGTATTCTGTGGGTTTTCAGCACCTTTTAGGTTTATCTGTTTCTCTTTTACCCATTTTAATGTCCCATCTCACACACAATGGATGGTAGACAGGAAGGAAAAAGGAAAAAAAGTTAAAACCTACTTAATCAACTACTTGTTGGTAGGAAAAGTGTTACTCTGGGAAAGAAACTGCAACCCCAGGCTAAAGAGATGTTTTCTAATTCCAGGTGGGTTTTTATTCCCTGTATCATTACTGTTCCAGAATTAACTTTGGAAATCATTTGCAAGGCTAGTTTAGGGGTCATTGTGACCCATCTTTTCAGGGAGGGTGAGGTTTGGCACATGGATTTTCCAAGTAAAGACTGCAAGGAGAGGAGTGATTTCTTTCTTAGCCTGCATCAGGGCGCCAGAGTTGGGAACAGGAGGCGTTGGCTTTTGTGAAGCCTCCAGTGTGGGCCCTCAAAAGATGTCCATGTGACATCACTTTGCTTGGGACAAAGAAACCATAACTGCTACACTTAGTTGCCTTGACCTCTCCCTGCACGAAAGCGGGAGGGACTTTCTATTTTGGCAGCTATTGGGTCATATATCTTCATCACACAGGCTGTTCTTTAATCTGGGGTGTTGAGAACAAACAGTTCAGTCCTATTTGCAAAGAATCCTTCTGTGCCCTGTGCTAGGCCACTGCCTGCTGGAGAGAGAAAAAGTGCCTTGCTCCCTTCCACCCTCTGTGGTAGAAAACCCTCTCTGGTCTTTCTTCTTTTCACTTAGGCCAGAAAAAGCAGCATTTGTTTGGGGAAGGCAGAGGAGAGGTGTTGGAGACCACTTCTCACAGGAATGCCATATTGTTCCTCCTTGTACTTTCTTTTCTTTTCTGTCGCTTGATATAATTTGCATACAGCAAGATGCACAGATCTGAGCTGCAGACTTCTGTGCCTTTTGAGAAGCAGTGTCTGCCTTTCTGTATTGTCACAGGAGGTGCCCTGACTTCATCACACTGTAAGTGTAGGTACCATGATGTATTGCTTGTTTTCTGAAGGGATTCTGCACAGGTCTCTGTGCTAGAGTGTTTGTTTGAGGCATTTAAAATTACAGAAATGAATTAGTTTGTGTTTATAGTGTGTTATGTAATTTATATAGCAAGACCCATTTCAAAATTAAAGGCTATTTCCCTAAATTATTAAATCGACACTGACCTTGCCTTTCGATCGATTTTTCTGCTTTCTAGGACTTTTCATATCAACCTTGGGCACTGGGTAGTGAGAAGAGTCCTGCAGGTGGCTCCTGACGCAGGGCTGGTGTGTCAGTGGACGTGGAGGTGTTTGAATTTCACTCCCACCCTCTTGGGGTGGCCCAGCAGCTTCAAGGACAGCGTGTTTTCGGCTAAACCGGCCTTGCCCTCAGGGCTTAGGTGCACAGTCCTAACACCTGCATCGCTCTAGCTCCCCATCCAGAGCCTGTGGCTGATAAACCTCTCATTGGAAACCTGTCCCGCTGGTGTCTTAACTAATCTTCCCAACTCAGACCCAGAGAGGTCTGGTGTCTGTAATGAAATGAGGAAAGCCTTTGACCAACCACCGCATTTTCTTTCCTGAATCATTCCAGCAACCTGGCGGGCAATCGGATTGGCACCCTGGAGTTGGGGGCATTTGATGGTCTGTCACGGTCGCTGCTAACTCTTCGCCTGAGCAAAAACAGGATCACCCAGCTTCCTGTAAGAGCGTTCAAGCTACCCAGGCTGACACAACTGTGAGTATAGAAAACTACACTTTAATTAAGGCTAGCCAAACTTTATGGAGGCCAAATTTCCCCAAGGACCTTGTACCAAACGCCACCATTTCCTTGCTCCCTTTGGTAAAGCTCTCTGTAAATTACCATTAACGGCAGCACCTCATAAAAGCAAATTCAGAGCTGGGTCTGGTGCTGTGACTGCCTCAGCTTGCTGAGAAAGAGATCCACTGAGTTTGCTTGTCTTCCCTCGTGTTTTCCAAAATGGAATCAGGAATCCTGCTGCCTAGCTGATGCTGGCTAATGCTGAGGCTGCATGGGTTTGGGTTCTTATTTATCTTAGATGTTTTTCTGTATTTTTTAAAGATACCCATAAAATCTGTACCTTGGACATGGTGGTGTCCTACACTTCTCGAACAGTTTGAGAGGAAGTTAGTGTAGCCAGAGTTAGTAAGCAAAAGACAGGCCTTTGTTTTCATCTGTTAAATCTAACAAGGTAGTTGATTTATTATTTCTTTATTTCTTTATTTTGATACAGAGTCTCATTCTGTCCCCCAGGCTGGAGTGCAGTGGCGTGATCTCAGCTCACTGCAAGTTCCGTCTCCCGGGTTCACGTCGTTCTCCTGCCTCAGCCTCCCGAGTAGCTGGGACTACAGGCGCCAGCCACCTCGCCCGGCTAATTTTTTTGTATTTTTAGTAGAGATGGGGTTTCACCGTGTTAGCCAGGATGGTCTTGATCTCCTGACCTCGTGATCCACCTGCCTTGGCCTCCCAAAGTGCTGGGATGACAGGTGTGAGCCACCATACCCAGCTGATTTATTATTTTTTTGAACAATTTAATTGTTTAGTTTACTGATGGAAGGCTGAGTACCCTTCTAGAAGGCAGAGTTTTAGATTCAAGAAAAGCTCTGTTAACCAGAGCCTGACGAAGGACTTTTTCCCTTTTTTTTTCTCTGTACCCTCTGTTTAGCAGAAGAGTGTGTTTCAGGAAAATAAGACAGTTTTGGAAATTTTGTTTCAACAAAACAAAGTAATTGTCGAGGGCCAGGTTGGCAGCAAGATGGGGTGTGCCTGGCTCTCAACCTGCCTGGGTTTTACCTCCCCTGGGTGGGGAGTCCTAGACTTTGCCCTTTTCAGTCTGTGGAGAAGGTCTCAGTGATTCCTGAGAAGGTTTGTGTGGAGCAGCATCATGAGCCACTGCAGAAATATTTGGGGAAAACCAAGGGCTTTCTGGCTGCTCTGTCTCCCCTTCCCGCAGGGCTGCTAATGGCCCACCCAGATTCCTGACATCTTTTGGTGAACTGAGGCTTTGTCATACTGGGGCTAGAAGCCAAGTGTATATGACTTGTGGGGTGTCTCTCCCCCATCTCCCCCCGCCCCCATGTGCAGTCACTTCTCTCTATAGTGGAGATGCTATGAAATGCCTCCAGTGGAAAGTGGTGTTGCCATTTGATACCTAGTGGTTTGGTTTTTCCTGGGTTGAGGCATGTAGTGTGGATTTCTGTTGCTGAGCTCAGAGATACCTCACGTAAGACATTCACCCCTTGAGTCATACCCACGTCCTTACTGCAGAGTCACAAATGGCACTGGTGCTACTGGGGGAGGAGACGTGAGCACACACGCGCTCGCTTCCATGCAGCTACAGGCCCAGCCTCGGAGCTGACTGTGGAGAGCGGGGCCTCACTCACCCCTCTTTCCTTCACTAGCTGTGGTCAAGTGGTGGTGTCAGTGCCTGCGTGGCAGCCGAGACACACGGTGGGCCCCCCTACACGTCCTGGCTTCCCAGGGATCCCTGCGCTGGGATTTCTCCTCTGGCTTGGAAACTTAGCCAGGACTGCCTGGGAATGGTTGTGGGTGGCATATGCACATAGGACACTCTGACCCTGCTGGCTTCATCTCTTTAGGGACCTCAATCGGAATCGGATTCGGCTGATAGAGGGCCTCACCTTCCAGGGGCTCAACAGCTTGGAGGTGCTGAAGCTTCAGCGAAACAACATCAGCAAACTGACGGACGGGGCCTTCTGGGGACTGTCCAAGATGCATGTGCTGTGAGTGCGGACCGGGGTCCTGGCATTGCTAAGGATTGCTGTGTGGTGTGGGGTGTGGGGTGTGGTGTGTGGTGTGTGTGTGTATGTGCACATGCGCACCCACACCAGCATTACTGTGTGTTGTGGTCTGTGTGTGTGTGTGTGTGTGTGTGCACGTGCAAGCCCACACCAGCGTTCAGCTGTGCACTGGGCGTGGAGTGGGGCACCAGTGCCCAGTCCATTTCTCCTGAAGGATTCTTCAAGATTTCAGCCGGACCCAGCCCCCTTCCCTTTGCATCTTCACCTGGGCCCAACTCAGTGTCTTGGGACAGGGCCAAATCTGAGGGTATTTTCCTAGCAGATCCGAAAATCCACTGAAATCCACTTGGGGGAAGTTTCAGCGGATTGACTCAGATCAGTTGGTTGATGGAGGTGGAGTTATGGGCCATTCTGCCAGGCCTGCTCCCCTCAGCCTGCATCCACTGCCCCCGCCCCTGCTTCCTCGGTGAACGTGGGACTGCGGAACAGACCCCTCCTCACATCCTCTCTACTCCCACACCACAGGAAGTTCCTTCTCTCCCCGTCTGGGTTTGACAGTCTTTCTTGAGGTGCAGGTGGGCCAAAAATGTAGCGCTCATCCTAGGAGATTTATTTCTGTCTTGTGAGCTAATCAAGACACTGGGTGCAGATGTTCAACTTTTATCAAGGGAGCAGTCTCTTCAGCCAGATGTGTACAACAGCACAACAGGCTTGCCTGCACAGTGACGTGAAACAGGAGGGCAGCATACAGAAAAGGCTTTTTAAACGTTAAAAGCATTTTTAAACATTAAAATTTATTTTTAATCAAAAGTAATTCATCTGTATAGTTAAATCAGATAGTAAAGAAAAGCTGTCACTGCCCACCCCAGCCTCCCCCGCCGCCTCCCCCTCATTCTCTCTTCACCCCAGTTCCTCTCCTAAGAGGCAGGCACTTCTAAGCCTTTCTCTTTCTCGTTTTTCTGTTTTTAGCTTTGCTGGTTGTTCCTTCCAAGTTAATATACTGACACCACTGTCTTTACTTACCCACTTGCGATTTCCTGCTTTAGAGTCAATGATTTAACTTGCTTATGACCGCCCCTTCTCCCTTCCAGTCCGGGCAAATTATATCATGACTTGTATGCCCTTTACTGGTTTTCTTGGCAATGGAAACCAACTAGGCCCAGGTCCATCCACGTGTTGTGCTGTGTCACTCTGATCGGCATCTCTGCATGACCAGCGCTCCGTGCCCTGTGAACAGTGAGGATGTTTCTGCTGCTGGACTTCTTGCTCTACTCATTCTCCACCCTTTGTTTTACGTATTCAAAAACATTTCGCTTGATCTCCTTCAGCATGTCATTTTGGACTTGGAAGTCCAAGGTAGTCATGTGCTGGGTGGACTGAAGTTAAAAGAGAATTCTCAGAGGAAAATGGGGTTAGCACCTACCATTTGGTTTTTATGTTGAACAAATTTATATAAATTGAGCTGTCTTGGAGGTTATTTATACATTAAGTGCTTACCTTTTGAGCAGTAGCAGAAAGAAATATGGAAAAAAGCAAAACTTAGTTGCCCAAAGCCCTTGTAATATTGAACACCCAGCAAAATTCGAGTTATGGTCTTCTGTTGAAGAGGCGGTCGCCTGGGCTTGCGCTGTCTTTCCTAGCACATGCTGTGTGGGGAAGCAGGGTGCTAGCACACTTACACAGTGGGCCTGAGCGCTCAGGCCCAGCGCTGCCCTGAAACCTGATGTCCCCTTGTTCCCTTCTTGTAGTGACCCCATGGAGTCAGTGCTCTTAGATATCTTCATGTTATAGATGTGCAGGTTTATTCAGCCAGCAAGCTGCAAAATTAGGATTTAAATCCAGATAGTCTGACGCCAGAGCTAAAGCGGGTCTCCTAGCACAGTGGCACAGAGTCCAGCCGTTGGTAACCAGACCTGGGCTTGAATTATTTCTGGCCCCTTCCCTACTGGCTAAGCTGTGTAAAGTCTTAGGTTACCTGGCTTCTCTCAGCAGCACGTTCCTCATGGGTGAGATGAGGGTGATAATAAGAGCCTCCTCCTATTCTCCTTTCTATTCCTTTAATGGGCTTTGCCCTGGCCTGTAAGTCCTATGCCAGTTTGTTGGCCTGGGTCATTTTTTGTTTTGTTTCTGGTAGAGGTGGGGTTTCGCTATATTGCCCGCACTGGTCTCGAACTCCCGAGCTCAAGCGATCCTCCCGCTTTGGCCTCGCCAAGTACTGGGATTACAGGCATGAGCCACCACACCCAGTCCTGGTTCACTTTTACTCGGCCAAAAAAGTCACTTCTAGGAAGCTCCCTCTTGCCCTGTGAACACTCTGAGTTGGCCTTGGCATGTGCTATCATCCATGTAGATTTGCCTGTCTTCTCCCAGCCCCTCCTCACATGCACATGTGTGCGAGTAGACTCCACAGTCCTCTCGTGCACTGTTCTAGCCTTCGTGCGACTGCAGGGTCAGATACAGCATAGCTACTCATTTGCTGGCTGTCCAGTGAAGGAGTGAAGGCTTGTCTTCATCCTGTGCGTGGCTGTCGTTGCAGGCACCTGGAATACAACAGCCTGGTAGAAGTGAACAGCGGCTCGCTCTACGGCCTCACGGCCCTGCATCAGCTCCACCTCAGCAACAATTCCATCGCCCGCATTCACCGCAAGGGCTGGAGCTTCTGCCAGAAGCTGCATGAGTTGTAAGTGTCCTCGGCTCTGGGCTGTGGCAGTTTTTAGACACTGCTTGGAGGTGAAAGTGCTAGGCCTGGTTCATTCCACCACACAGCGGCCTTGGGCAGGACTCAGAGACAGGGAGGCCAGTAGCCCTGTCCCCAAACCAGCCAGGCCCAGAGTAGGAGCCTCAGCGATTTGAGCCCACATCGCTTATCTCCCCTTCACTTCCTCTGCATTTAGATTAGCAGGGGCTCCAGGAATAGCATCTAGGTCCCTGCAGGGAGCCTTGGCCCCCAAGGCTCTGTTGGGTTTGGAGACAGTTCCAGGGGTGGAGAGTTCCTAGGGAAGGGCAGCTCCAGCAGAGTGCTCACAGGAGCCATTTCGAGAGTGGCTGTGTGTTAATGGCCACACCAAATAGCATGCGCTTATTCAGTGAGGGGGTCATTTGGGCTCAAACAGAGACGGTGGCACCCTGACTGTGGATGAATTTGTGTCCTCGGAGTCACCACCTTCCTTCCTGTAGACGAGTTGCCCAGGCTCTTGGCCCCATTTTCACCGCAGTGGCCTGCTGGCAGAGGCTCCCGTGCAGTCATGTGTGCGTGCTTGGTTCAGAGATGCGTGGACCTCCTGCTTCTTTTGGAGATTTCCAGACAGGGCTCCAAGTTGAGACTGAGAACTGAGCTTGTCTTGTCCAAAGTTCTGAGATGAGTAGTGACAGACTCTCCCCTGCATAGCGAGGGGCAGTGGCCCTGGCCACCCTGTCATGTCAGGGTGGGGTTATTGGACAGTGAACGCAGCATTCCTAAGGACTCAGAGAACATCTTCACAAATAGATAGTTTGTGTTTTCACTGTTCTTTCCATTTTATATGCTCCAGTTTAGTCCACTAGGTTTCTTTATTTTTCGCAAGACTTGGGTGGGTTTTCTTTTTTGTTTTTTTCTCCTTTTTCTAGGCTTGGCTGTTTGAAAAAGATTCACCCACTGAAGTGAATGATTGTTAAGAGAGCCAGGCCTCAGTCTGTCTTGTCTCTCTTGACCTCACCAGACACACTCAAGGGGATGTGTGAATCTGATGTGGATTCTTGCATCTGGTGTTTGTGTCTGGTCTTCTGTGTTCTCCTCTCTTTCCCTTCCCTCCTCCTCTTCCTCCCCTCCCCTACCTCTGACACACACACACACACACACACACACACACAGACTTGGAGTTTATATTTTGGTGACTCCATCATTATCTAATGCAAAACAAAGTGGTCCTGCCTCTTTCCTAACTTTCCTTGGAATCTGTGAGTGTTAACCCTTTGGGTTCAGCTTCTTATGCTTCAGGGCCTGCAGCTGTACATTCCATGTCGTGCTGGATGGCTCCTTTCAGGCTCTGTAGTCAAGCTGTGACCCCAACAGGGAACTCCTGGTTTTGTTGGTCAGAGCTGGGAGCTGTGGGAAACAAGAGAGGTCTTTTAAGTCCCCAAAGTCTGAGCCAGTTCAGTTCTTAAAGTGAGGAGCTGTCCTCTGACTCACCAGCATATTGCAGCCCCAGGGAAGGCATGCTGTCTTCTGCGGGGTGCGGGATCCCCTCTCTGGCTGGTGGAAGGCATGAAGCCCTCTTCTGTGCCCTCTAGAAGGGGCAGCAGAGATCACAGAAGTGCGCTTGAGCAGTCCTAGTGGTTAGCACCATATCCAGGTAACCTCAGAGCCAGATTTGGGATTGCTTCCCAGCGTGTGTTTCCCACCCCTCCTTTAAGCTACATTTTTTAATTGCAGGTGAGGATATAATTTTGATCTCCTGCCAGGTCTATGCAACTGACAGACACCCTGACTTATTTGTCCAGGAGGGAAAGAATGCTGCTCCCAGCTGCCTTTAAAAACTCATTAATCTTCTCAGAGTTTATTTTCCGTCTTCCTGCCTCGGCCCCAATTTTTCATTTTTAAACGATAGATGACCAGTATGTCATGTAACCAACCCAGAGGTGCAGGAGTGTTGGGAGGAAGCTTTGATTCTGAGGCTTGGACAAAGCATATGGTTTTACCACCTGCAGTAGGGGATCATGCTCTGAGGACCACGTGGATGGGGGCAGGGAGGCCTAAGCAGAAGGCTCCTATCCTGGGGGAGTTGCCCCACTAAGGCGTGAGGCACAGGTGTGGTCGTCCCACGCAGGGGCTAGTGGTGCCCTCTGCTGGCCAATGCAGGGAGTGTGACCGGGGCTCCCTGGCTTGCTGGCTTGCTGTCCAGAATCCCAGGCTTCTGCTATGAGAGGTCTTTCGTAGCCTGAATCAGGAGCTGCCTTGGACAGCAGCATGAAGGCACTGGAGCTTGAGAGTTCTTGTGTGTCATGACCTTGTGCGTAGTCTTCACAGTTTAACAGCTACCCTGGCCCCTGTGACCTACGCAACCATTCTAGGAGTCAGACTAATGTGTTGGGCACTGATGGGTTTCTAGCTGCATGGCCACTTTTACCCCCAGAATTCTGGGGGGAGGGGGGGCGCTGTGCGCTTATGTGTGTGCATCCGTGTCATTTCCCACTGAAACCTAGCCGACTGTGGCCCGATTTCCGGTGGGGTGGGGTTGGGAGGCAACCACGCTAGATGGTGACATTACTGTCCTCCCTTTCCTCAGGGTCCTGTCCTTCAACAACCTGACACGGCTGGACGAGGAGAGCCTGGCCGAGCTGAGCAGCCTGAGCGTCCTGCGTCTCAGCCACAATTCCATCAGCCACATTGCGGAGGGCGCCTTCAAGGGACTCAGGAGCCTGCGAGTCTTGTACGTCTCCCACTCCTGACAGGATAAAAGGGTCCCCAGTGGGGAGAGCAGAATAGAGCAAACCATCTGCTTGTTGAACTCCATTTGCGTTGGCTTTGAGTCAGAATTGGATCCAAAGCTGGCTTGCTCTGTGTGCAGAGTCTCAAACTTTTATATAATTAACTGAGAAAGAACTGGTTAAGCAGAAAAACCTCTCATTCCCCTAGGATGGTGCCTAGAGAGGGATGGCAACTCCTAAAAAGTAGTTGTTCTCAAGCAGTGATGCCCACGTTGTGCTGGACAGGATGCTGGCTCCTAGTGTTGGAAAAAGCTTCCCCACGCTGAGTGCCTGGTGCGGCCTCCAGTTCAGCAGCCGTGGGTCAGTCTTTTCCATCTTGAGTCTTCAGTTGCAACTTCCGTTTTTAAGTCCTGAGTATTTTTTCTCTAAACCATGGGAATATTTCTGTGCATCTCTCGCCCTAGCATTTGAATTTCTTCAGCATAACCTGTACCAAGATGCCTCCTTTGCAAAAGCAGCACTTAAGGAATCCTGTGTCTCTCCTTGTACCTCATCAGGGGTCGGTTAACAAAGTGGAGGTGCTAATGCCGCTTCCCTTGAAGTCCCTAATTAGATGGGATTGGCAAAAGTGAGTGCAGGATGCTTTTCTGAGGCTTGTGTATAAAACTTTAACATGGTTGGCTTCATAGAACTTCCAAGCGGCTATCAGCATAAAACCCCCAGAGAGGGGCATATGGTTTTCAGAGGATAGTGGTGGCGGGTTCTAGGGTCTCCTTCTCAGGTGTAATTCACTGCACAGAGAGGGGTCTGTTCCAGTGTGACAGGGAGGGAGGCCTTTGCACTTGCACCTGGCAAAGCCAGCTTTAATGTGGAGCCATTGCCAGGGAGTGTGAAAGGGGCCGGAGCCAAGCTATTCAGGCCAGGTCAGCCTGGGAGCCCATACAAGGTCCAAATAACAAGGCTGGGAACATTCAGACTGAGCTGGCCAGAAAGGAGAGAAAAACTTTGGCAGCCAGGGCTAGGAGCCGGGAGACAGGCATACAAAGCCACAGCCCCCGGTCCCTAGTTTTTTCAGTATGCAGATGATAGGAAGGAACCCACTGAGAGGAGAAGTCCCTTCCAGCAGCAGAATCTTCACTCTTTGAGCTTCCTGCTGTAAAAGAAAGGTGGCCGCCAGCATTTCACTCTTCATTCAGAGCTGCCCTCCCTGCTGGCAGCATTGATTCCTGCTGCAGCTTCTCACAGGAGACAAGCGCTCCTTTTCTGTCCCTGGCCTGTGTCTGCAAGGACTCAGGAGGGGAAAGTTTAAGAACCAAGAACCTTGTGGAAAGTTGGAGAGGGCAGAATGTGTGCAGGATGGGAGCCTGGTCGCCAGGTGTGATGTCTCGCCTGGGCACTGTGACCTGCTTCTGGAAGCCGGGAGGCCACTGAGTCATCGGCCATGGGATTTGTATTGCTGGAGGGGCCTGGGCTGAGGAGTTGGCCTCATCTCTCCAATCCTGGCGAGTGGGTCACAAGTCTGACTCAGCACCCAGATGTCCTCCCTGGCTCAAAGTCAGCGCCCTGCAGGCCTTGGGAGGAGATGGGCTCTGGGCTCCAGACCCACTGGCTGGCACGGAGGGGCCCACGGGTGGGCCCTGTGCCAGGTCTGTTTCTTCCACGTGCTTTCTGCAGTTTCTCGGTCATGTCCAGAAAAGGGACTCTGGTTGGTATGAGAGCAGACAGGAGCCTTAAGGAACCTTTTGGTCTGATCCTCGTGCCAGGGCCAGATGTCCGCTCTCCGAGGGCTGAATACAAACTGGGCCGTCTGCACCACCTCCCTCCCCCGGAGCGCGGCCTCCGCAGACAGGGAGGCAGGTGGAGCCCAGGGAAGCTTCTTGTCTGAGGCGTGTGTCGTCTTGGTTGGAAGGCTGAGAAACAGGGCGTCCCTCCCAGGGCCATGTGTCTCTTCACCCTACGTCCTGGCTGTGCCTCCAGGGTACACCCAGGGGCCTTCAGCTTCTGAGCAGCAGGCTGGGTGGGAGCTTGCTTTCCCTTCATGCCCAGACTGCTCGGTGAGCTGCTTTCTGTCCTCTCCCCAGGGATCTGGACCATAACGAGATTGCGGGCACAATAGAGGACACGAGCGGTGCCTTCTCAGGGCTCGACAGCCTCAGCAAGCTGTGAGTATCCGCGGCACGGAGCTCCGCCAGCAAATGCGTGGGAAGACACTTCCGTGGGAGACATTTCTGGGGTGCCCCCTGCGCCTCTCTGCTCTGGGCCCAGGCGGAAGAGAGCTGGCTCCACGCAGACTTTTGTTTGGGGAGAAGAGTTTGAAGAAGAGAGCGGGGGACACCCCACTTCTCGCTGGGCAGGGGTCTCCTTGCTGGTCTGGGTGTTGGGTTCTTGGGGGCTGGCAACCCGGCATTTGGCGGCCTGGTGGAGCTTCTCTCGGGCTTCCCTGACAACTCACGTGAAAACTGCTGAATTTGCTGTTGTCCTTTGTACAAAGGAGTCTTGTCCCGTTACTCCGTTTCTCAAAGTTGTGTAAAGCTCAGTCAGCTGTGAGGGCGGTGAGGCTCCTGACAGTACTGTCATCATTAGCCGTCATCTCAAATGGAAACATCATTTCCAAGGGTCATGGTAGCAGCTATTTTAATGTGTGGTTTGGGGTCTTTTTCCTTTTTTCCTAGCTCCTAGATTTTGCCAGTTAATCTGCCAAGCACCTGTGTGTGTGGTACCTAATGATCTCATGAGGGCAGGCTGTGTTAGGCAACCTCTTTATTAGTTGAGGAAAGAGAAGTGATGGGATTTTGCCCAAAACTACACAGTGGGCAAGTGGCAGGCTCAGGATTTGCTCGTTTGGCTCCAAAGCCCACGTTCCCTCCCCCTTGGCCCACCCTGTTTTCTCTGCATGTCACCAGCACTTTCTGTAGATGCCACCCAAAGACCACGCAGGAGGAGGACGGGGGTAATTATTACTGTTGACTAGCAGCTTGGAGGGAAGACTGGAGGAGGGCAAGACGGAGCGGACGGCCGCCACTCGATTCTCCCACCCCGTCCCCAGTGACCGGGAGCTCGGCAGAGCGCGAGTGTCAAGTAAATATTTGGAAAGCCCTACTGGAGCTCGAGGATAGAGGAGAGCCTGTGGTAGGGAGAGTCTTTTTATATAGTAGATGCTTCTGATTGGTTTGGAAAAGCATGGGAGTTCACACCTTTTATATACAGGGTCCTGATTAGGAATAAGCTCTGTTGGCTGGCTGAGGAAGGTATTTCTTCTTGAGCATCCCGTACTCCAGCAGCACGTCGGAGATGCTTGTCAGTGTTTCTTGTCCTTATCGTCCCTAAAACAATGCTGATTTTCCCCAACCTTGAACCCATACATGACCCCTTTTTATCCCATATAGGGCAAACCTGGGAAGAGCCAGAAGTACCAAGTGGGGTGAGGCAGAGGCCTTCTTAGCAAGAGGAGCTCCAGGTCTGGGACGTGGCTGCTGAGGTGTTCAGCGCCAGGGCCGCCATTCAGCATAAGCCTCCCTGGCCTCGGCCATAACTGATTGAAGGGTGAGGGTGGGGAGAGTGGGCGGCATTGCCAGCCCTCATGGGGCATGTCCATCTTTAGGAACCTGGAGCTGTTTCCTGGGTGTCATGGCTTCCAGGAGACTGTCTCTCTACAGAAGGCCCGTGAGGTGTGCCTGGCCCCGGGTCACCTGGACTTCTGGTGCTGCATGAGTCCGCCGCTGCCTTCCTGAGTGCGCACCCTCTGTGCCCTGGTGCTTTCTCCTTTGTTCCCCTGCTGGACCAGGCTCAGCACTTCCACCTGAGCCCCAAGAGGTCAGCCCAAGCCCCTGCTTTCCTCGCTTGTTATTTGTGGTGGGCTCCACACTGAGCTGGTCCTGAGACTCCTGAAAACTTGTTAAAATCTAAGCCTCACCCCACGCAGCCACTGAGTCAGCTTCTTGGGGCTGGAGACTCTGTGTATGTTTGGAAAAGGGTGAGAGAGAAAGACATGCATCCAGTTGGGGAAGCTGGGACAATAAACAAACAAGAATTCCTTAATATGATTAAGTATATGCAATCACTTATGTAAGTGTGATGCTATCATGGTTATGTGGCAAAGGAAACGAATCATTTTCTTCTTGGATAAAGAAAATGGTATGATGCCTATGATGTGGATTCCATAAACTCCTGCTGGGTTCGAGAATGGGTAGTGGCTAGAGGTAGAGATGAGGCGAGATTGGCACGACCGGAGGACGGTTGTAGCTGTGTGACGGGCACTTGGGGTTCAGGATACTACTACGTCTACCTAGCATAGTGTGTGCAAATTTCCACATTGAAAGGGAAGCAGAGAAGTAAATGCTTCTCATGTGATCCTGGTACACAGGGCTACTTAAAAACTGCTGTGTTTGGCATATCGCAGGTGTTGAGTCGATGTTTGTTGAACGAATGAAGGGAGGGACAGAGGAAGAACCCAGTGCCTCTTTGGTCCCCTCCCCACCCGTCTACTCAGAACATTCCAGGAAAGCTCTGTGCTGTGGCCCTGGCTGAGAGAAGTGACCACAGACAGCACTGTGTTGCTCCGTGGGAGTGGCCCAGTGCTGGCCTGTTGGGATCCACTGAGAAGTGGGGTGCATGTTAACACAGAGTAGACCTGCCCCTCTAGAGCAGCTGATCCGTGCTGCGGGGAGCGCAGCCGGTGCCCTGAGTCCCTTCATTTGGTGTGGGTTTGTCTTTGGAGAGCTCAGGGAGCTCGTGTTTAGGATCTGCCCTAGGATGGGAAGGTAGAGACCCCTGCCTTCGCTGAATTACTCAGAGACCTTGGGTCCTTCCCACCACGCAAGAGGTCAGACCTAAATTAAAATGTTTTCCAAGAAAGGGAGATGTGAGCAGCAGAGCCATAAATGGCCTCTCTGTGAATTTGGGGTGGATGCTGACCTGCCCTTGATTTTTCCAGCTTATGCACACAGCTGTGTTGGAGAGTTCCTCACACTGGAGCTTCCCAGCAGGGCAAGAATGTTCCTAGACCCCAGCACATGCCTTTCTTCCTAGCTTGTCTGGGATTCTTTTGTAGACCCACCCCAGGGCCTGTTTGTTTCCAAATGGTTGTGCGGTTCCCAGGCTGGGGCCTACACAGTGGCACAGAGTCAGTACACAGGAGGGAAGAGAGAATTTCTGGATCCCAAATTTCAGGCAGAGAGGAGCAGTTAGTGATCTGGGTATGCGACTTCCTGCCCCGTGGTTCCAGCTGGCTCCATGGCATTCCTCAGAGGGAGGGGCAGAGTCCCACACAGGGCACATGGCAAGGGGTATGTTTGGGGGCACTTGCAGAGCTGATGGGAGCGCAGCCTCCATCCCTGCCTGTGGGGGGGCCGGGCCTGCAGTGGAACTCGCTGTGTGTGTGGGTGGGAAGTGGGGGCTAGTGCACATGTCACGGCTACTCTCAAGGACATGAGTACAAGGACCACCTGAGTACTGCCCCCTGTACCTGCCACTTGATTTGGCAAGTGCTAACCAGGCCTTTAGAGCTGTTAGCTGGGTTGGCCAGGAGATGGATGGGAGGCTTGACAGGTGACTCCCGCAGGTTGCTTTCTGTTCCAGGTTGGTGCTGGGGAGGTCAGGCCAGCTGTGCCTTCTCTGGGAGCCTGGCTGTGGTACAGAAATAGTGTCCTCCCAGCCCATATTCCCGCCTCTCCTTTCTCCTCACAGCAGCCTTTTATTAGAGCCATCCCAGTCTGCTGGCTGCAGCTCCCCATCCCAGCCCCATATGTCTGCTGGGGGAAGGTAAGGACCCTGCCTAATCCACCAACAAGATGATTAGCCCCTGCATAATTGAGAATTTGAGAATTTGTTTTATTGCTATTGTCACCATTAAAAATAACAGCCTGCCCTCATTGTAAAACAGGTCAATATGACTAATATTTAATGGATGAAATAAAGCGCAGCTTTTTCCTGGATCTCGTTTACAGGAGATTTCACTAAACAGTTCAATGCGTTTTTACTGGGACCTCGGGCACGCAGTGCCTGGGCCGGGGGATCTGAGTAAGTGTAGAAGTTGGCAGCGCTCTCTGAAGCGCTCGGGGTGCAGTGCCCCATGAGCTGTTACTTGCTGGCGAGTTTTGTGGTTAAAGAGCCTGAGTTAGCATGGCCACCAGCTTTTCTGTGTGTTTGGTTTATTTGTTTTAAAATAAAAGTTTCAGACTGAGGGGTTGTGGAAACGCTTTCAGAATGCGATTGTTTTCCCATCCATGCAGACGGCCTGAGAGAAAGAAAAGGCAGAGGGTCTCTGGCCCGTTTGCCCCTTCACCCTCCGGAGGCAGGAAACAGAGCTGGCTTTGTCTGAGGGCTGAGCTCACAGTTAGCGCCGGGGTCGGCCTGAATGGTGGCCTCCAGGGAGGGAGTCTGTTTCTGATGAAACGGAGGGTCAGGCAGCCCCTGTGGAGTGGTTGCCCTGGAAGCTGGCCACGCAGGCTGGTGGTGCCTCCCTCTGGCTCTACTATGAGCCTGTGTTGCCAGGAGGCAGCCTCCTGGTACCTGCCCAGGCGGTTCCCAGGAGGCCTGTTGCAGTTAGGAAGAAGCAGCGGCCCGTGTGCTGGGCAGGTCCCAGGCTGCCTTGCCATCTTTGGTTGGCTTCAGGGCTTACATTTTTCCTCCTTTCAGGAAGGGGCTGGGACTTCTTGTTTTCCCTTATGGGTCCCAGTCTTAATGCAGGTTGAAGGTGGAGCTGGCCTCTAGTCCAGTCTCTTCCCCAGTGCCAGGTGAGATCCTGGACCAAGAGTCCCCTTCCTAGTAGGGGGCTGGGCCAGATGGGCTTTCTCCAGGGGCTTCCTCTCCTGCCCACCTGAACCCCATTGCCTTGGACAGACCTGTTGACGCTGAGAATCCCCAGGAGTTGGCTCCCAGCAATCGTGTTCTTAGCAAGCCCGTTAGATCCTGGTGTACCTTAAGATTGACAAGTCGACGAAGCTCATGGTCAGCACTGCCTTCGGTTGTTCCCTGGTAGTCTCCTGTGCCGTCTGGATTAGAGGGAATGCCTTTGGTGGGTTCTCATCAGAGAACATGGTAACAGGGAGGGGAAAACTGAATTATCTTCATTCCCAGCGTCCACCCTAGGGGCTCCCCTGCAGGGAAACAAGCTTGCCTTTAGATCACACAGTGCAGTGGAGGAGGCACTCATTTCTTCGTGTGTTCTGCAGGGCACAGACTTTGGTTTCTGGGAAAGCTCTTAGCAGTTACTGCTAAGGCTTGGATCGGAGCTGCCTGGAGGCAGGAACCCCTTCTCATGGGCAGGCAGTCCAGGCAGGGCACAGGCACTAGTGATAACCTTGGAGGCTGGCTCACTGACGTCATATAAAGTCTGGGGTATGGCCGAGGAGCCAAAGCACTGGGGCACCGCCTGCAGGCCCTGAGGGGTCCCTCTCATAGGCAAGGACACAGCTCCCCATGGCTGTGGAGGACATCTGGCTGCCAGGACATCTCAGGTGCTGAGAGCTGTGGAGCCAGCTTGATGGATGCCTGTTTTCCTGTCCTCTTGCCTCTTTTGGGAAACTTTGTTCCCAGAATGCACTTTTCAGAAGTGGGTGGCAGTTTGGGGGTTTTTGTTCCTTTGTTTTTTGTTTGTGACAACTTCCCATTATGTTGCCCAGTCTGGAGTGCAGTGATGCGATCACAGCTCACTGCAGCCTCCACCTCCTGGGCTCAAGCAATCTTCCCACCTCAGCCTTCTAAGGAGCAGGGACTACTGGTGCGTGCCTCCACGCCCGGATAAGATTTTATTTTTTGTAGAGACAAGGTCACCTTATGTTGTCCAGGTCTCAAACTCCTGGGATCACTTGAGCCTCCTCAAGTTGAGGCCTCCTGCCTCAGCCTCCCAAAGTGCTGGGATTACAGGCCTGAGCCACCACGCCCAGTCATGGGTAGCAGTTTTAATTCCGAAGATTTTTCTTTCCTTTTTTGACTCAGCTTCCTCTCACTGAAACCATAACCAGTCTCATCTCTCCTGCAAGGCCATCACTAAACTTCACCATCCAAGCGTGGGTGGTCCTTGGAGAGAGACCGGGCCAGACAAGGTGATTTCCACCTGACACTGCAAGGGGCCTTTTTTAGGCCAGACGGCGCATGCAATTCCAGCCTGTCATCACTATTAAATTCTAATAAAGATAAAAGTATTTCATTTCAGAAAGGGTAAGGCCTGTGTGCTTCAAACCCGTAATCTCAGCGCAGGTCAGCTTTCCACCTGCCCCCTCACTGGACAGACTTATCAGGTAGCACTACCTTAATTATGTTTTCTTTCTCTTTCTCTCAACCCTTCCTTGTTTCTCTCTCCTTCCCTGGCCTTAATTTCTGGATGTTTGGAAACGACAGGACTCTGTTTGGAAACAAGATCAAGTCTGTGGCTAAGAGAGCATTCTCCGGGCTGGAAGGCCTGGAGCACCTGTGAGTATCTCGCCAGCCCTGCCCTGAGGCACAGGCCTGCCAAATGTGGCTGCTGGGGAGTTCTGCTAGCAATTTAATCGCATCTTTGTAAACTGAGAAACAGGCTATTTGGAAACACCAGCTGCTTCCTTCTCATTATAAGTCAGCTTCAACTTTGGCCTTTATGTTGCCTATGCCAGGAACAGTTACAGAACATATGGCCAGTGGGTGTGCTCCCAGTTAATTCAGTTGGTGTTTGGATAAATACCCTCCCCCCTCCTGCTGCGCAGCCTCACCCCTGCACCAGCTCGTTCATGGACCCCTGGCCTCACTGCCTCTTCCACCAAGGTGCTTCCTGCTGGCCAAGCCTGTTGCCTCCATTAGAGCAGCTTAACAGTGCAGAGTAGGTGCTGGGCTGAACCAGTTTGGTGTGGTTGCTTCTGAGACCCTGGGAGGAAGGGGACAGAGCCACCCCTGAGACATGCATGCTGTTGCCATCTGGGGCAGATGCCTCATGTATGTGATCCTTAGTTTATTTCCTCTTTGAATCAAGGTTGACTCTTACCTCTGTTGGGGAAGGTTTTGCCTTGTGAGCAGGCCTCCGCCCAGCTTGGATGGTGCGCTAAGGCTGGCTCGGCTCCTGAGTCATTCTGTGGGCTTGTGTTGCGATTCGGGAAACAACAGCCTCCTGTAGTAGTTAGGACACAGGTCTGGCTAGTCCCTGTGGGTCATCTGTGAAACCAGGACTGTGCTGAAAACTCCTCAGGTTTACCTAGGGTTTCTTTGTATAAGTATGTATGTTCTGTTTCAGGAACCTTGGAGGGAATGCGATCAGATCTGTCCAGTTTGATGCCTTTGTGAAGATGAAGAATCTTAAAGAACTGTAAGTATCTGGATTCCCTGGGTCTGACTGATGGGAACGGAGACTTTCAGAGTAAGAAACTTCTGCAGTTGCATTATGCTCACTTGTTAAAAGGCCACATGGTACATATTTTGGATTTTGTGGGCCACAGGGTCTCTGTCATGACTACTCGATTGTGTCATTGCAGCAGAAAGCAGCCATAAACAATACATAAGCAGGTGGGTGTGGCTGTGTGCCCATAAAGTCACATTGACAGAAGCAGGCAGTGGGGCCGCAGGCCGAAGCTTGCTAACCACTGTTCTAGACAATGTGAAATATACTGTCCTTTATAAAGTGGGTAATACCCCTTTAATTATGTCAGGGATGAGTTTCTATCTTTTGGGCTTGTTTACAATGAAGGCCTGTGTTGAGAGGGGCTCCTTCAGAGCCTGGTGGGCTGTGAGCAAGGCAGAGCTCTGGAGGGGATGGGATGCTGAGGGGTGCGGTGGTGTCTGCCTGTACCATTTCCAAGCTTTCTAGGCACAGTTCACAGGTGGTGGTGCTTCCACCGTGGACTTGGACCATGGGCTCTTGGGTGACAAGGTTGGAAAATCTTCCCTGTATCCTACTCTCTGGCAGGGGAGCTAGTCTAGGTCCTCAGGTATAACACCCAAGTTTCTTTTCTTTTTTTTTTTTTTTCTAGACATGAATCTGATTCTGCAGCTAGTAAGTTCTAGCCATGATATCAGTTCCCTCAAGGGGTAGCTTTTGGTTCCTAGAAGTGCTGACAGAATGGCACATGCCAAAGGACAGTCATCTTTTTGCCCTGGCCTCATCCCCATTCCCCGAGGCCACTCCTGATGGACCCTCAGTTGGGGCAGGGAGGCTGGGAATGGGAAATGTCGTGCATTCCCCGTAGCTGAGAACTGAAGCAGGCCAGGTGACACCGCTCTGAGTGAGGAAGGAAGGTGGCCTGGGCACTTGCCCTGTGACGTTCAGCGTGCTGTGAGCCTCAGGCCTGCTGAATAGATACCATCCTTGCAAGGGTTGGATCTTGGAGCGGGCATCTGTGATGGGTACATGGAGCTCAGGGCTCTGCAGACAGCTGTTCCGTGCCCAGGGCCTTCCCTCTTCCAGCCTCAGCAGCTCTGCCTCCATCTGTCGGATGAGACAGAACATACAGAAGGGATTCCATGGCTCTCCTTCCAGAGCAGGGGAGGAGATGATTCCAGACCACCGTGGAAGGCTGGATTCAGAGGTGGACTCACAGTAAAGCAAGTGGAATGAAACATTAGTTGTAGAAGACAAGTGGTGGGGCACAGGAGCATTCACTGTGGAATTCTTTCACCTTTTCTGTCTCTGAAACTTTTAGATATGATGTTAGGAGTGAAAAAGACCTGATTAAATTTAAATGGGAAGAGGGTATTTTGAGAGAAGGAAGGAGGAAGGGGATAAGATTTTCCTTGGGAAGTTGGAAGGAACTGGACCCTTCCAGAAGCTCGGACCCCCAGTGTGTTTCTCTAGTTCTGGAGGCTCAGCCTCGGTCTCCTGCCTGGCTTTCCCATCATTGCTGCACGTACCTAGCTGGGGCTGGCCCTGTGCTCAGTCCTCGGGTGAGAGAAACGGTTAATTCCACTTGGTCGTTTTCTTCTCCATCAGATCAAGTCAGGTTGTACTGTGCACTTAGTCATCCTCTGGGTAAATTTCCACAAGTGATGATTAGAAACACACTTTGAGTTGGAATCATGAAAATGCATCATGTGAGCCAGCGAAGCCCTGGGATGGCCGCAGAAGGCAGTAGAGCCGATGGCGCTGTGTTCTCCATGGGTGGAGGAAGGGCGGCAGGAGCCTGCAGAGCCTAGGGGTTGGAATCCTCACTACTGCCTGGCCCGAGGCCCTCCCCATGTGTCCTCTCGGTCGTAACTTGCTTTTTAGGAACATGCTGTCTCCACCCTGGGTACCCACTGTCTTCGTGGAGTCTGGCCTCCTGTGTGAGGTGGGTTTCATGGTGGAAGAAGTAGGAAATCCTCAAAGGCATTAGCCCCACACGTCCAGAGCGTGTGTAAGATGAGGCTTAGCCCTTTCCACATGTGTCTGATCAAAGATAAATGTCAAATTTGTCTTCCCCAGTTTGTTCCTGTGGTTCAAATGGAATATGCCCTTGTGTCCTGCACAAATGCCTAACGTCGTGCAGGGATGGCCCAGCCTCTCCTAGGCTTTCATGAATAGTGCCCAGGCTGCACTCCATGGAAGTGCCCTCTTGCGAGGGAGCTGGAGGTGCTTCTGACAGCGGCGAGTTCTCCATCCAGGCTGAGTTCCCCCATGCCTGGCGCAGCCAGCCTGACCCCCATGCAGGGCGCACTCCTGGGAGCTGCCTTCCCCAAACGCTGCATGGGAATTGGCCATTTCATCAGGGATGGCCGTGACAGCCCTTCCGCAACTTGCAGTGACTCCACAGTAGAACAGCCCTCCAGATAACTCTCAGCAGGACGCTACCTGCCTATGAAATAAAAATGCAAACTCTCATTCTGATTTTAAGATCTGATGTGGGTCAGCATCCCAGTTATGATGGCCTTGAGATAAGTTATTTCCGTTTTTGGAAAAGCACTTTCCAAAATTATAATTATTTTAATAAGACGCCCAACTCATCTAGGGGTGATGGGGAACATGAGGAAGAGTGGATTTTACTTCATTTAGACTTGGGTCATCTGCTTACGTTTCATTCTTCCTTGCTGTGACAGTTTCTCCGCTCATTAGAAATCTGGAGAGAAATAGAAGAAAATGGAAGGCCAGTCCATTTGGTTGCTTTGCTGATGTCTGAGGACAGTGGTGGGTGGAGAAGGTGGCCAAGGCCATGCTCTTGGCCTGCATGATGTTTTTGGAATTCGGAGCATACCTGTGCCCTCTGTTTGTCACCAGGTACCAGAGACAGCGTATTGCAGGGAAGCCTGTGTGTTCTCTTTCCCAGTCTTCCCTTATTGTGGACCAGCCATCATTCTTTAGCTCACAGCTCTGAGGTCTTCCAGGAACAAGGCCGCTAGACTCTTGGTTGACTTATCTTCAAGTGACTCCTCAGGAAGGAATGTCCGCTGAGATGGCGATCCCGATTTCTGTTTAAAAAGCTTATCCTTAGTTGCTGAGAAATGAAAAAGAAAATATTCTCTGTTTTGGTTGGAGCCCCACAAAACTAAAGCTGTGCATTCTCATGCTCCCTGGGCAGTGGCAATTAACTAACAAGCACTATTTAGGGAGCAGAGCCGAATTCTGCTGGCCCCCTGAAGAATACTGGTGCAAAGATCAAGGCACAAACAAGAGGGTGGCACAGGGACGGGGCTTATTACATTTGGAAGTAAGAAAACATGCAGCTTTGCCAATGAAAAGGGAACAGCCATGAGGCAAAAGAGCCCTCCTCGAAACTTGTTGCAGAATTTGGATCAGAGTCTTAGGTTGAGTTTTGAAGCTCCAAGTAGTGTATCAGGAAAGTGGGAAACACCAGAGGGGGGATGGTGGCACTGTTGGATGTATCAGAGGTCGGGAGAGGTCAGAAGGCAGCCCAGGGTCACACAGAACAGTGTCTGTCCCAGAACATGGGTGAGCTCCACGCTGCTGCTACTCCAGTTGTGGTCCTTGGGTCAGCACCCCCAGCCTCACGTGTGAGCTTGTTCGACGTGCAGTCATGGGTTCCATGCCTGACGGACCCAGTCAGCAACTGCAGTTTTTCAAAATCTCCAGGTGGGTTATATGCATGGCCCTGGGAAATTGGAGAGGAACTGTGAGAAAAACCATTTCCCCTTCTAGCTTGCTGGTGTTCACTTGAGAAGCTGACTGGAGGCGACTGATCATTCTGTGTGCGAAGGGAGTATCCCTCCTCTGCGGCTGCACCTGAGGCATCCACTGTTGTGTTTCTTTCAGCCATATCAGCAGCGACAGCTTCCTGTGCGACTGCCAGCTGAAGTGGCTGCCCCCGTGGCTGATGGGCAGGATGCTGCAGGCCTTTGTGACAGCCACCTGTGCCCACCCAGAATCACTGAAGGGTCAGAGCATTTTCTCTGTGCCACCAGAGAGTTTCGTGTGTGGTAAGACTGTCTTTGTAACTCTTTTTCTCCTTCATGAAGGGCAAGGAAGCCAGGAGGTACTCTTCAGTATGGGAGTCATTCCTGTGATCAGAGTAAACCCCAGCCCGTGGTTACAGATCAGCTGCTGGATGCAATTTATTTCTCGCTGAAACCACACACGGTATTTACCGTAGAGTTGCCTCATTATGTGGTTCTTGGAGGACATGCATTTAATCAGAAGGGAGTGTAAGTTGGTTCAGTTACAAATCAGAATAATCAGTTACAGGAAGGATAGTTCTGTTGTTTCAGAAGGGCTCTGGTGCCCGGGTTTAGCTGTGAATTTACTCAGTGTATGAGGCTGGGGTTTTAATGTGTGTTTCTTTCCAACCCCAAGAATGAAAGGTTAAATACAGGAAGAACAAGTCTCAGGAGAACAGTTGCTGTAGTAAAAATAATTCCTTGATGTTGACTTGTACTCTTGCTGTTTCTCCAAACCACTGAAATCTGCACTTGCAGCTTTACATTCTTTTTGCCTTCTGATTGCCGGAACATAGCTCTTGCCATCTTTTTGACTGGGAGTCGGGATCCAAGTCTGGTTGCAGAGAGCATGGAAAATGCTGAACAGCTGAAAACACACACGCAGGCTAGCTCAGACAGGAATGACACAGCCTCACGGTCAGGAAGACATGATCAAAGAATGAGATGAATTTTGAGTTTTTCCTGTTTTTTTTTTTTTTTTTTTGCTCTAAGCGGGAGCAAGAGTGGGATTCCCAGGCCTGACTGGAACTGCTGGGCAGGTGAAAGTCCCTCCTGCCTTTTGTGCTCACCGGTCTCCCTTGAGCCTTGAGATCCCTGCTGTGAGGATCCTAACCAGGCACTCACCCATCCATATGGGAACCCTTGTGGGCCACTTCTCTCTCCTACTTTCTGGCCATAGCAATAGCCAGTGTGCCTGCTGCAGGCAAGATGCGTGCACCCTCCTTCCATGCATCCACCCCTGCCTTCACCATCACTTCTGAGAATAGGCCTGCTGAACTTCCTCTGGATCCAGAGCAGGGACACGTCTTAAACACACTGTGAACATGGCAGCCACTCTCCAAACTGAGCTTTTCATCTGTCTTACGGAGTCTTCTGTGTGGAATCGAATGCTCGCACAGCTCCATTCTCCAGGCACAAAATGGCTGTATAATCCATTGTTAATTGGCCCATTGTCATCAAGTCCTTGACCCTTAAATTGTTTATAGACCTCCCTCAAATGAGGCTTTCTGTCGCTCCCTCTGCTTTCCTGCCATAGGGCAGGCTTTCCCTCTGGGTGAGCCAGGTAGGACTTTGGTAAGCTCACCTAGCCCCCAGCCTGTGGCCCTCGCATATTCTGGATTGAAAGAGTTGTTTATTTCACATCTGTCATCCCCACCCCCACATTTTAGTTCAAACTTCCCCGCTCTAAAAACATCAGGTGTTAATGGGAATCATGAAAACACTTGGCAGAAGATCAAGGTTTCAGGCTCAATGGGAGTTTCCCACTCCTCTTTTAAAAACGGAAACATAACCAGTCCACATCCACCAGGACAGCTAGAATCCGAAACTGAGATAATAACAAGTGTCGCTGAGGAGAGGGAGAAATCTGAACCCTCCTACATTGCTGGTGGGAGTGTAAACTGGGCAGCCACCTTGGAAAACAGTCTTGGCAGTTCCTCCGTTCAACATACAGTTACGACATGACCTGGCAGTTCCACTCTTGGGTGTATACCTAAGAGAAATGAAAGTATATGTTCACACAGAAACTTCGACATGAATGTTCATAGCAGCATTATTCATAATAGCCAAAATGTGGGCACAACCCAGGTATCAGAGGATGACTGGATAAACAAAAGGTGGTGTAGCCATACAGTGGAATATTCATTAGGCGGTGAAAGGAATCAGTAGTCCTATGAAATGAATGAACTTTGACAGTGTCATGCTGAGTGGAAGAAGTCAGCCACAAAAGACCAATAATCTAAATTACATGATAACATTCATAGAAATGTCCAGAATGGGGAAATCTCTGGAGGTAGAGATTAGGTTAGTAGTAGTTTAAGGATGGGGACAGATGGAAAGAGAGGGTTAATAGCTAAAATGTACAACATTTCTTTTTGAGGTGATGAAAATGTTGTAAAATTGACACGTGATGGTTGCCCATATTGGTGAGTATACTAAAAACCATTAAATTGTATACTTTTAGATGAGTGAGTTGTAGTGTAGATGAACTATTCTCAATAAAGCTTTTAGAAAGAAATATAATGTATATGTCATAAAAATTTACCCCTTTAAAATGTATATTTTGGTTTGTAAATGTATAAATGGTTTTTATAATAGTCACAACTGTGTAACCATCACTATTATCTAATTTTAGAACATTTTCATCACCCCTAGAAGGATCCCCATACCATTAGTAATCACTCCCTATTCTCTGCCCCCAGGCCCTTGATAGCACTAATCTCATTGTGTGCTCTGGGCATTTAATATAAATGGAACCATACACTATATGGTCTCTTGTAACTGGCTTTTCTCACTTAGCATAATTTTTAAGCATGTATCAGTACTTCATTACTGTTTTTAACGTCTGAATAAATGGGTTTACATTTTATTTATCCATTTATCAGATGATGGACATTAGATTGTCCCCACTTTTTGGCTACTATGAATAATGCTGCTGTGAAAATTCATATACAAGGTTTTGTGTGATTCTTCTGGGTACAAACCTAGGAATGGAATTGCTGGGTCATATGCTAACTCTATGCTCACCTTTTTTGAGGGACTGCCAAACTGTTTTCCAAAGTGGCTTCTTGATTTTACATGCCCATCACCAATGCATGAGAATTCCAATTTCTCCTCATTTTTGCTCGCATGTGTTATTAGCTGTCTTTTCTATTTTGGATGTACTAGTGTGAAATAGAGTCTCATGGTGGTTTTGATTTGCATTTCCCTAATGATTAATGATGTTAGGCGTGTTTTCACATGCTTATTGGACATATATATATATATATCTTCTTAGGAAAAACAGCTATTTAAATCATTTGCCAGTATTCATTTGTCTTTTCATTGTTTAATTGAAAGAGTTCTTTATGTATTCTGGATACTAGACTTTCATAAGATACATGTTGTGCCAATATTTTCTCCCAGTTTGAGGGCTCTTTTTCATTTTCTTGATAGTTGAAGTGCAAAAGTTTTTAGTTTTGATGAAGTTCAATATCTCTGTTTTTTCTTTTATTACGTATGCTTTTGATTTCGTATCTAAGAAACTATTTGCCTGAGATAAGGTCACAAAGATTTCCTCCTTTATTTTCTTCTAAGAGTTTTATAACCTCTGTGTTACAAAGCCCTCTGATTT